TTGAACAAGTGCATGTACAAAGTAGATAGGTTTATTCTTCCCTGGATGTGTACATGTAATTAATTCAAGCCAAAAGGTGTTAAACTGCACTAATAAGTTGCAATGATACACCAATTTAGTTAGAGATGTGCAACCCCTTTTACTGCATCGGCAAGGCAGCATAGGAAAGTTTGCACTAATATTGCTCAGGTTATATCTATTCTGAGATTACGATACTTCATTTTCCATGATTGTCAAGCCAATACCTTTTCATGAGCACTGATTAATTTTAGAAATACATATAGATGTAGTAGAGCAAAGGGAAAAATAAAGCGTGCGAAGTCCATTTATCAGAAAGAATGAATGAGCATAGGAAAGGCTGCAGGATCAGGAACCAATCGCTTGAATCAATACCTGCGTAAGGTTTTACAGAGAAATAAAAAGAACAAGCGATTCTGGGTGCCACCTTGCCACTTGAAGATATTGAGCACCATCTTCTGAAAACCAGACACCTTTAAAGTGTCAAGCTGGGCATCCAAAATCACTTTTGAAAGTCTGGGCCAACATTCTTTGGGCCCCAAAGAATTTACAAACTAGGGCCCCAATCTTGAAAACTGCTGCATGCAAGCAAATCCTTCAACGTGCATGAATCTCCTGAAAACAATAGGTTTGTGCATGGACACAAACATCCATTTGCATAGAACCACTTCCAGGATTGGGACCCAAGGTTGCGTGCAGTATCATGTTATATCCAAACAGAAGCGCAGGGAAAAGGCAGCTTACAAGAAGACGACCACATGTCTACCTCAGTTTGTTATGTGTGCTCCTTGAGGTTTTTTAGTTTGTGGTTTTCTAAGTATTTTAGTTGCTTAAAAACTAAATCTGTTTATAATTTTTGTATACGCATATTTGGGCCTATTGAAGAGAGGAAAGTGAAATGAGAGAAAAGAGATGTCACAGGAGCAAATCGGAGATGGAAGCGAATAGGAGATGAAAACAGGATGCAAGGGCAAATGAGGGAGGGAAAAGCATGACAAGGGAAGCAGGTCAGAAAGATAGTTGGACAGCAATGATAGCAAATCATAACAGTCCAAATGAAAAAAATTGATTGTTTGAGAGAATGACAGAAAAATCTATTGCTCTTTTGGAAAGGGAGCAAAAGCGAATCAATGAGGAAGAAAGCCTGTTCCAGATAATGGGGGTAGTATGTACAAAATGAGGAGGAGAGAAAAAGAAATCGGGTACTATAGCACATGAAAAGGAATGTAGGAAGTCAAGGGAATGAGGGACAAACATCCACGTTAAGGTCATATAGGTTCCCAGGAATAAGCTACCAAAAACAACAAAAAACCTCTTCCCCCGTTTCCCTTCAACTTGGGTACAGAAGTTGAACAATTTAAACAATTAGCCCCAATCTTTCAGGTCAAGAGCAAAGTTATCTTCCTTCTTCTGTAGCAAAAAGAAAAAGCAATTTGAAGACTGGCAAGTAATGGTTCCCTTCCTATACTTTGTTCAGATGTATGTACCCAACTCTATATACAATTCCTATTAACACTAATAGAATTCATGCACACAGAAGGGATAATATAAATCCTGTTCCTAAACTGCTATATTTCTATCGACATAATCTGTTTGTATACACAATCTAAAATTATTGGTGTCTTTGGGAAACTGATTTGGTTAAAGTTACTGTTAGTTTGTGCTCTTAATTAATGCTGTTCTCAAGTAACATAAACAAGTATTTCTTAAAAGGAAAGGATAATCACTTGCAGCAAGTTCAAGCGAGAAAAACTTACCCTCAATTTAGAAACTATTCCAAAACACTTTTCAATAGGGAATCACTTTCTAAAATATCTTCCTCTTTGTATAGCCCAAATAAACCCACAAATATACCGAGCAATTAGCTACACAAGCCAATATTAAATGATGCTTTAGATGGTGACTTGACAATTCCACTGCATGCATTTTTCTGCATAAAAACAAAATCTGCCACACAACAGTGACATTATTAGGGAGAACATTTTTGCTGCTCTCCTCTTGAAGCAAGTAGTTTTTTAAATTCATTGAACTAAATTTTGTTGACAATTTGTTAAGCATTCAGTTTAAAGGGGAAGAGTGCAAGAATTACTCAGAAACAGTATGTGCACACACAGATATGCTATGCAGCCACAAAAGTCACAAAGCTATTTCCTAGTTTCAAAATGTCCAGTAGCATTAGCACTTAAATAACAACTAGATGAAGTTTAGATAATTTTAAATTTAATCTTCAGTGCAGTTTACATACAGTAACACTAACATAGCACCCAGGCTCAGAGATACAGTTTAAATAACTTTACTGGACTTCTAATATAAATTCAGGATAGTGATGAAAAGCTAACAGCTGTTCCTAACTTAACTGTTTTCAATTGTGCAACCAAGCAGAATATTTCAACACAAAATGTTTCCTTGGAAGGTCGAATTTAAGTGAAAGTTACAACTTCCTGTCAAGCCATTATCTGTAATTTACTTTAAAATATTTCAATTTAAAATGTAACAACTTGTACCCTGAACTTCCAAGCTTCTTTCTGTGGTACCAGTATGTTCATGCAAGTCCTACTGAAGTCGATGATATGTCTACACTTCACACTAAGCCCGAGCTCTGACTCGGGTTTGAGCCCATATCCCCCCTTCCATTCACACACAAATCAGCCTGACTCAGGTCAGCAAGTACTCAGGACCCAGGTCCTAGGACCCTGGTAGGAGGATGGGTCAAACTCTGTCATTTTGCACTGTGGACACAGCTCAAGCCATTGACCTGAGTCCAAAAGGTCTGAGTATGGACATATCAGTATGGCTGTGAGACCCAGGACCAGCAACGGCGAGCCCAGGTTTACAATATAGTGTGGACACCCAAGCACAGGCTTAGAAAAAACAAGTCCACAAGCCAAGTCCTACTGACCCAGGTTCACAAGGCAGCATAGACATACTCAGTGAGGCTCCACAAAGACTCAAGAATCTGCCCATATGGGCCTAACTGGGTACATCTCTACTGCCAAAAAAAAAAAAAACCCACACACAACACTCCACACACCGCAACAGCAAGTCTCAGAGCTCGGGTCAACTACCACACTCACATTAGGGGGCTAAAAACATCAGCATAGACATTCTCACTCAAGCCAGAGCCTGGGCTCTGGGGCTCTCCACCCTCACCGGATATCAAAGCCTAGGCTCCAGCCCAACCGGGAATGTCTATTCTTAGCCCTGTGGTGCAAGCCCTGTGAGCCTGCCGCAGTTGACCCAGGCTCCAAGACTCACTGCCAGGGCTTTTTTCCCTTGCAGTCCAGATGTATCCACTGACACCTTCAACAAAGTCAGTTACTAATCAAACGTACTGAAAGGAAACATTCATAATATCTGCTTAAAACTAGAAGAGGAAACATATGTAATAAATATAATTGGTGGACAGATTACCATCATTGACCATGTTAGCTCAACTAGTCACTGAGGTTCAACAAGTTTCACAGAGTCTACAGTAAGATTTACAGTAAGCAGTTCCCTCTGGAAAGTAATATCTTCAATGTATTCCAGGTGACATATTTAAAAACAAACAAAAGCTTTTAGAGTTCAGTACATATAAGTTCAGCAGGTAATCAGAACGTATCTTCCTAAATGCTACCAATAAATTAGGATTTCTGCATTTAGCTGGTCCAATCCAGAGACTATTAATACCACTACTTAGCTTCCTGAAGATGGTAAGCATCAATATGCACTGTATGACTGGACTACTTTACAAGCTTCAGAATATGATTTTTAGAAATAACAGCTAAGTTTACATAAAAAGAAATGGTTCTTATGGAGCTAGAAGGCCAGAAGCTTGTGCCTGTTTCTGGAAGAGATTTGTTACCACAGACCAAAAATTCATGTACACACAGTTTTTGCACCAGTACTGGTTTGAAACCAATACAACTAAGCAGCACAACCCCCAGGCGTGTAGTTAAATCAGTATAACTTATAATGATGTAGCATTTTCCCAGACATGTAGAAAAATAAATTATACTGATATAACTGTGTTCACTTTAAGGGGGTTATACTGACTTAATTATTCCAGTAAAAAGAGAATCACATCCCTAATTGAAATAGGGAAATTGGTATAAAAACTGTGTGTAGACCAGGCCCAAGTGTGCAATTCTCCACTGTCCTGCATCTTGTACAGTCCATTTCACCATTGCAAACAGTAGAAAATTTAGTACCTTCTGATCTGATAATATTTTACACTTTGCCCTGCATATAGCTAGGCATTATCATTGCAATGGAGAATTAGTCTCTAAAAACTGATGTTAAAGCAGTTTACAAAAATCTTAGTAAAACAAGATATCATAAACCAGAGATGGAGCTCCCTCAGACACTGATACAGAACAAGAAGAAAATGTACCCAGCTAGATGGTGATAGAATACTGAACAACATCTGAAATTGTCACTGAAACACTGGTGGCTCTACAGGCACAAACATCATTTGGACCTTTTAAACACAGAGGACAGATAGTCTAACAGTTATTACAGCTAACTTCATAAGAGTTTAAAAAAAAGTAATCCTAAATAGTCCAGTGAAAAGGAAGGTTACCTTTCAGTGCTCAACTATGAGAAAGTGGATGGCATTTTCGCATCTGTCAATTCTCATTCTTGAGAAACTGATAGACAAGCACCTACATCAGCTCCTCCACATCCTAACTCCTGCTATTATGCATTCTTATTACTATATACAGAAACACCAGAATAATTACATTTTGAAAGCAACTACAGTACAACATTGATTATCTAACCCCAAGAACCAAGAACCTTCTTTAACTAAAACAGGGTTGTGTCACTTGATGTCTAGCACATTGAATTTCCTCTCAATTATACAAACCTGTATCATCTCAATTCATTCAAATGTCCTCAATGACACCGAATGAATTCAACTGCACTGTATCTAGTTTTCTTCCAGGAAATTTAATACATGCAGTAAGACAGTAGGAGGGAACGAAAGCTTTATTGTCACTTACTCAAATGCAAAGAAGAGTCCACTGGTGACCAAGATGAGAACCAGAGTCAGGTAGAAGACTCCAGTCTGCCGGGCCATCATGATCCTTCCGTTGCAAAAGAATTTGTTTCTTCCAGGGAAAACCTCCCATTTTCTCTTGGGAGCTGCTTTCTTTTTCTTATGGGGAGACTCCATGGGAGATGAAGAGCTGTGTGTGCTGATCTGACTGTACTCACAGTCTTTCATGGGCCCACTACCACCTCCAGGAGTCATCAAGGGAGTGTAATGAGGGAAACACCCCCAAAACAAAGATATTCTTCTGACCAAGATAATCCTCCCCACTAGCCCCAATTTTTTTTTTTAAAAAAGGCAAGTTTGTTACCAGAACAGTGGTAAATGTATCACGCAAGCCCGATTAACTCTTGAGAAACCAAAGCTGTCATACTAGAAATGCCTGGGAGGTATTCCTTCCCACCCCACCAAAATTACGAACTCATTTAAAATAGTCTTTTATGGTTATAAGAGCAATTTATCACAAAACAGGAACCAGAAAAAAATTACAAAACAGATTGGTTGACCACAAAACTTAAAAAGTGTTCATCTTTAATGGAGTGGTTGTTCTTTTCTCAAAAGAGCACACCCTCAGATTTATCTGGGGATCAACATTTTAGGTAAAAAGAGGTTCAGCAGTTGAGTCTCTCCCATTCAGAGATATTTGTTATAATACTCCTCCAGACAGCAGGTTTTACTACGAAAAGAAAAATGTATATTCCAAAGAGAAAATCATCCCCACCCCCTCAAAGAGACACCACACAAGGCAAGCACAAACAAACCCAGCTGCAACTCAAGCTTTGGAGAAACACACTGTAGAGGGATTTCTTCCTCCTAATCCAATGCAAAGTGGCTGCTTTGCTGCTGTTTCTTCTTGTTCGTCTGGGGAGGTGAATTTTGATCGTTGCTCTGAGGAAGTGAACGTTTATTTTCTATTTTCTCCCTCCATAAAACTAAAAAATGTTCGAGCAGGGAGGAAGCAGAGTCAAGTCAGTGCCTATCCTTGGCAGAAATGGACACCGTTGGAGCCAGTCCTCATCCTTTTCATACACATATAAAAAGAGAAGTTCCTCCTCCTCCTCACCCCTGTCTTTTGGGCAGTGGGCGGTGTCAGCGTCTGGAGGTGTGTGGGTGGCTGTTTTCAAACCCAAGTTCGTCTAGACAACAGGTCCCCACCGCTTGCTCACGCCGCTGCTCCGGATCAATCCCGCATGGCAGCCGGTTTTCTGCCACCCCCCGAAAAGAGGACTCACTGCGTGTAGCATGTGTCTCTCCGCCCAGGACTCTTCCTCCCCATCGTCTTCTCCACACAGAGCGTCACCTCCCTGCCACCTTCTCCCACCGCCTCCGAGGCGGACACGGCTCAGTCAGACGCTGTGGGGACACGGGCTCCTTCCCGCAGGGCAGAGGGGCTGGCGGGTCCCACCCCGCATCCTGACACCTCCGCGCCCAGAGGCGGGCTCGGGCTCACACCGCCCAGCGAACGACGCCCCGCCGCTGCCGCGGCTCGTTGCCAAGCCCAGGTGCGAGGAGCCCTGCGGCACAGCGCAGCGCGGGGGGGTCGCTCCCCTTCCCTTCCTCCGGCTCTGCCCTTAGCCGGGCTTGGCCCCAGCAGCCAGACCAAGCAGCAGCAGCAGCCACCTCTTCATCTTCGGCGGCGGCGGGGGTCACAACGGCTGCCGGTGCCCAGGGGGCACCAAACCCCTCCCCAGGCGCTCGCCCGGCCCCCGCTGCTGCCCTCGAGCCGGGGCTGGGCTCGGCCAGGTACTCGCTCCTCGCCCGGCAGCTGCTGCAGGTCCCGCCCCCGTTCTCCCGCCGGCTCCGTCTGCGGCCCCCGGAGCACTCCCTCGCACCGACGCCCGGCAGCCCGCAGCGTCTCCAGCCAGCCCCAGGCAGCAGCTGCCGGCTGCCAGCCGCAGGGGCCAATCCGCTGCCGAGAGCCGAGAGAGGAAGGGACCCGCCGCCAATGCCTGGTCTGAGCTGAAGGGAAGGGCTCCGGACCGCTGGGAACTGTAGTCCCGCCCCCACCCCTCCGCGCAGCACGACACAGGGAGGGAAGCGGGGGCGGAGAAGGCAGGACTACAACTCCCAGCATGCCGTGCTGCTCGCCTCTGGCGAGTCTGAGTGAGCCGCTGTGTGGGCTGAGGTGGGGGGAACACAATGACCTCTCCTGATTTGTAACTTGTAAAACAATAAAAGTCTTCTAACCTGAGCCTTGATGGGATCTTCCCACCCAGCCACGCCTTGTGTCCCGTCTCTAATCACCAGTCACATTCTGTTTCCAGTCTGAACTCTGCCCCTCTTCCTGGTTCCCTGGCTCCCTCCCTGGTTCCCCTCTTCCTGGCTCCTCCATTTACTTGGCCTGTTGCTATTGCTATTATTTAATCTTTGTATTAGGATAAGGCACAGAGAACCCAACTACAGTTGAAGACCCATTGTGCTAGGCACTATACACGCACGTAAAAACAGCTATTAACTCTATCCTCTTTCCTTGCACTTTCTCACCTTAGGCATTAGTTACTCCCTATCTTTGGAAGAAACACTGACCAGTGCCCCAAACCCTCAAGCTATGGCTAAAGAAGGAGACAGAAGATGCTGTTCCCTATGTTCTTCCTCTCCACAAATGTTGTTTCCCAGCTGTCACTAAGCACTGTGGCTTGCTGGCATTCCTTGTTAGGCTGGCAGTAAGAGTTTACTCAGCTAATTTGACCATTATAAAGGACCACATAATCCCTTTACATTGGCCTGTCTTCACTAGGCACTGAAACCGCCCACTGCCCAAAAGCAAGTTGGACCCTAAATGAATAGGGCTTCCAAAAAACCTGATCATCTCACCATCTTCATGCATTAACCAGCATGACTGTGGTGTGCAAGACATTTCTTTTGCAAACTTGATGACATCCCTCATCAGCACATAGTAATCGCAGCAGTAACATCATCATCCCCCGCATCTGCCTCAGTTGTCAATGCTCTGCATGTTACTTTGCAACTCCAGACATAGCTGCATTATTATTGTTCTAAACCTCCATCAAGAACTGCCAGTACTTCTCTTACTTTCTCCCTTATCTCAGCACAAGCATATGCAAGCATACACATGGAGGCAACATTTCTTGTGTTGTACTGACAGGCATTTTTATTCTTCATCAGGCCTTTATTAGCGCACTGCTGGAGAGTTGTCTTGACTGCTTTGATAACGTTAATGATCGTATTGTGTGTAACTGCATGTAATCTCTTTGGAAAGTTGTATAATATCACAGGCACAATGGAAAGAACAGCTAATGTATGTACAGATTTCATTGTTAGCTATATCTCTGCATGCAGGGCTCGGAAATAGCTAGTACGTGCCCATACACCATACTGGTGCCTCTCTCAAGCTGCTGTCTTATTCTACAGAATCTCAGCTTTCTTTTTTTTTTTTCTTAAATGACCTCTTAAACTGTTATGGTTGTGAAGAAAATATCAAACACATAAAACAAGTGTAACTACCTAAGAGCCACCCAAGTCTGCAGAGAGTCTGTAACAATAGCCCATTTATCTCAGTGAGGTGTTAATTCAGATGCCCAGCTAAGATCATTTAAGATGTCAACATTGTGCAGATCTGTGATCATCCCTCTCCTTTCTTACGTGAGGAATAAAATAATAATCTACTACAAGTGATGTATCACTTTGGATTCACAAGTGTGTGGTATTTCAAGATACTACTACTTATGTTTTTAACTCAGTTGAAAAGGAACTTATCCCAAGTTGCCTTGCAGAGCCTATGGGCCTATTCAAGCCCTGCTAAGGAGAGGAACCAAGTTCGAGGAGCCAAGTTCAAGAGCTCAGAGAACACACACACACACTCAGTGGAGTTAGAGAACACACACAATCGTATTTAAACAACAGCAAAATACACTGTGTGCAATGTCTCATTTTGATCATTCCAGTTGATGGAGCTTATTATGTGGGTGGAGCTTGAAAGAGTGCTACCAACTTTCTTTTTCCAATCTAATCTATGTGCATGCCACTCTTCACACTGTAATATCCTTTTGCAAACACTGTAGGACCTGTCTAAATTCTACTCAAAAAGTTTACCTTCAATCTAGCATTTGAGAATTCTCCTCAAAAAGTGATTTGTACAGGTCATATTCCAGATAACTTAACATTTTTGGAAGCATTTGTCTTTTTTTTTTGACACTGTTAATTAAAATTGGTGCAAAGCATTGTATTGATTAAACCTCAAATATTAATAATTAAATTAACCAGAGCAGATAGGAAGGACCTATTCTTTTTTTATAGAACATTACATGTTCATGTGTTACAATACTTTTTTAAAATTTCTATCTCACTTTTCACACAGGTTGATGCCATGTGACAGGTAAGCCGGTAGCACAGACACATTACTTAGTTTACAAAAATTGTACTATTGGAAAAATACTAGTGTCACTGGCGATGACTATATATTACCCCATCCGGAGTGCAGAGGTATCACAAAGGCAGATCTTTGAAACAAAGGGGAAACTAATTTCCCTAGGTGACAAGTCTCCTCACCTATAAATATTTACCTATTATCACATCTCAACACTTTCAAATTACCTGAGTATATGTTTCATATATACCAACCAGACTATATAGGTGGGTAAACACTAGTTGACAAGTTGTGCCCCATGGACCCAAGGTGTTACTTGTATACCTCACACAGTGTGTTGCAGGACAACTATTTTTTCATTCCAATCAACACACCAGAAGTTATGGGTTAAGCACAGAATTTAAAGGCTTATTGGAATTGGAAGAGAGGAGGAAGAGGGGCTAGGACCATTGCCTATATTCTCACATTACTCAGGCACATTGTCCAATTTCTTTTAACTGAATATTGAAAAACCCATCAGAATGAAACCATCTCCTTCATCATGGACTTTGACAGAACACCTTCAGGACCTGATTTGTGAAGCGTGACTGAACACCACATATACACAAGTATGCCAGTTTACATGTTAACAGTGCATATGATGTGAACTGTTCTCCACAATGTGTGTTTTTCCTCACCATTTTTTTTTTACTTTTTTTTTTTACTTCCTCCAGCACTGGCAGTTCTGCCTTTGAACCTCCACTCTCCTGACTCTTTCTCAATATCTTATTGGTAGCGGTAGTAGCACCACCAACATTTCCCTTTTTTTTTTTGGTCATAAGTACAATACAATAAATTTAACTAGTTACAGAAAGCTTTTGAGTGTTTCCCACGCCCTACATTTTTGCAAAAGCAAGTTCTCTAGTAATTTTTTCTGCATCACAGTTCCACCACAATACTACACACTCTCCTGTCTCTATGACAGACTCATTAAGAAAGTGGGAAAACTTTTCTTTAGCAATCTCTGGAGGCTAACACTGAGTTTTATTTATTACTTGTAATAATCATATCACATGGTTGTTCTTTCTGTTTTGAATAATCAGAAACAGATTGGACTTAAACTTTAAAGGTCTAAAATGGCTTGATTTAGAACTAGCAGAAATTTAAGGCAAAATAACTGTAGTGTTTTAACCTATAATTTTGGCTTCTCTTATTATGGATCCACTGCTGTGAAGAGAAGTCAGAGCCCATGAATAATTCCATATAGTCCAGCAGAATGAAAGCAGAATTCCATTTTGACAGCAAGAAGAAAAGAAGACAATGACCAATAACAACCCTGCAACTGAAAGTTTTCTGAAACAACCATGTTCCCCCACCCAAAGATTATTCTAAAGCTGAGGAGACACAGAACTAGAACAATTATTACAGTTTCAGTTGAAGAAACAAACATAACCATTGTGTTGATGTGATGTTTTAACCCAATTTAACTTTCTCTCTTGTCCCAACTTGAAGGAAGGAAAACACAATCTCCCAGTAAAACAAGCCCATATAGAATTCCAGCTAAGCATAGAGAGGAGACAAAAAGGTAGATCCATACTAGGAGAAACCAAAATTACAAATTTCAGAGTAGCAGCCGTGTTAGTCTGTATTCGCAAAAAGAAAAGGAGTACTTGTGGCACCTTAGAGACTAACTCACAGAGACCTTCCTACCAAGACTACAAAAAGAAGGATTCTGGGTGGACTCCTGAAGGTCGAAACAACAGACTGGACTTCTACATAGAGTGCTTCCGCCGACGTGCACGGGCTGAAATTGTGGAAAAGCAGCATCACTTGCCCCATAATCTCAGCCGTGCAGAACACAATGCCATCCACAGCCTCAGAAACAACTCTGACATCATAATCAAAAAGGCTGACAAAGGAGGTGCTGTCGTCATCATGAATAGGTCGGAATAAATAAATTTGTTAGTCTCTAAGGTGCCACAAGTACTCCTTTTCTTTTTGCAAAATTACAAAGGCTATCAGTCCTCATTCTTGGGTGGCATAACTATTTGGAGTCAGGAAAGAATTCTCCCCAATCCTTTATAGTATATTAGTATAGTACCACTCAAATAGTCACATGAATTATATTTTATTTTCATCTTCCTATGAACCATCTAGCGTGGGACATTGCTAGAAGCAGGACATCAGTCTCGATGCTTGTTTGATCTGTCCCCCAGAGAAACTCCTAAATATTTCACAAAGATCAGCTATCCATTTTATTGATTTGTAGATTATAATGGATTCATACTACTCCATCCTGACCCCAGTTCACCAAGCTGTCACTGTTTCCTCATTGACGTCCCTCTTAAAACCCCTGTTTTTCCACAATGCCCACAAGAATTGTATTTATCACTTTAGAGGAAAAAAAGCAAGCATTAGGTCATCCCCTGATTTAGTTTTCCAAGTACCTCCTGCAGTGTTAAGTGTTTGTCTTTTAGACTGTGAACTCTTTGGTACTGAGACTGCCTTTATTTTTGTATGCAGTACAGTGCCAAGCACATGACCAGTACTGAAATATACATAATACACACCTACAGTAAATTATATTAAAA